AAAGAGCGGGAGGCCCGTTGCTTGGAGATATCGCGAACATCTACGGCGCGACGCAGCCAGAGGTGGCGGGCCGGCTAAATAAGGCCAAGAAGGTCGCAAGGATGACCGGGCCCCTGCCCAGGGGCGAAGACATTGACCAACACGGCCGGAGGGTGTTGGCGGAGGCGTTGGATGGTAGCCGCAGCGCTTCTCTAAGGGTTGGACGCGCGTAAGCTGTCAGGCCATGACGTGGACCAGATGCAGCAGACCCCGAGGATGGAAGCTAGTGAGGGCCGTGGCCGATCCAAAGGAGGTGAAGAGACTCGGAGAAGCTTGGGGCAAGAAAAAGGCGGGCTTCCCACTGACGAGCATGACGAAAGAAGAGACCCGCGCGGAAAATAGAGCGCCAGAAAAGGAACAGCGCCCGCCACAGGAAGTAGTAGACAGGGGGGCGCGCCTCCCCACAGTGCAAAGCAAGTGGGAGCGCCTGAGGCTGTTGGCTTTAGTCGACAGATACAGGGAAGAGAATTGGGGCAGAGGGCTCGGGCTTGGGATGGCCCTCAAGGCCAACGAAGGGCCAAGCGCGATCCCTGCCAGAAGGGTCAAGCTTAGGAGAACGCGACAACACGGAAGCGGAGACCTGGAAGAAGTTCGCGGAGCGACTCGCGAAATTCTTCAGGGAAGGACCGGGGGAGGAGTTCCACAACATGGGGGAGCTTAGTGACATCGCGGAAATAATGCGGGACCCCGTGAGGCTAGAAGAGGATGGAACCACGAGCGCAGACCTGGGCGTAGCGGCTGGGCGTGGAGGACGTGCGGGACCTCGTCACACGATGCCCGCAGTCGATCCACTGGCGGGAGCTCTGGAAGGCTATGACAGCGAGGGCACTGCGCAACACCAAAAGAGGAGAGCGAGGGGGCAGGGGCTGGACCGCATGCGCGTGCTGTGGCTGGGAGGGCTTCAAAGGCCCCAAGGGGTTAGCTGCGCACGCAGGCACTGGGTAAGGACGGCAAAGGAGTGGAAGGCAGGAGGGAGGGCGAGAAAGATGCGGCCACCAGGCTGCAAGAGAAAGGGAGCGGGAATGGAGAAAGGACATGGAGGCCAGGGCGGGCGCCTGTCGACGTGGACGACCTGGAGGGGCTCCCGCATTTCCAGGAGATCTGCCCGGAAGAGGCGGAGGCAAGCCTTGACGAAGTCAGGGATGGAGCGCGCATGGCCTTGAAGAGGAAAAAACGGCCACACGCGGAGACCGGGACACAGACCCAAGACAAACACGACACACAGAGGCGGGGGACCTCTTGGAGCTCGTGGAAGACTGGGAACATTATGAACAAGCGGGGGAGGTAGTGGACCAGGATAGCCTGCGGGAGTGCCCCTGGGGTGTGAAGAAGTGCCAAGGGGTACGGGCGGACGTCCACAGCTGCGGCATGTGCCAGGCACACCGGAAGGAACTGGAACGAGAGAAAAGACCTAGGAAGGACGAGAAGGGAGGGGGGGCTTTCCATGGTGCCAGGCGACTGCGATGGGACCCAAGGGAGAAGGTGAAGACGTGCTCTTACAAGGAAAAGGCACGCAGCTGGCCAGCGGGGGACCTGGGCGGCAGGAGCTGGCGCGAGGGGTGTGGCAAGAGAATAGAAGGAGGAGAAACCGGGGCCACCCATTGCAAGGAAGTAGAAGAAAAGGGGAAACGAAACGCCGGAAAAGAAGAACGGGAAGAGGGAGACAAGGCCCAAAGGAAAAGGCAGAGGGGAGAGGAGAGAGAGGACCGGGAGCACAGAGGAGCCCAACGCAAAGCCCAGCGAAGAGGAGGAGCAGAAGAGGAGAAAAAGGGGGGAAAAAAGGGGCCCGCGGTAGACCCGCGCGAGGGGCTCAGGGAAGGAAAGAAGGGGGAGAGGCCCCCCGGAGCGGAAGGGGGACAGGGGGGGAAGAGGCTGGCGGCGGAGCCACTCCCGGACCTCTGAAAAGGAAAAAAAAGGAGGAGGCCACGCCAGGGGGACGGCGCCCCGGCGAAGCGGGATGAAGTGAAAACAAAGAGGGCGCCGAGTGGCCTCGCCGTAGCGAAGAAGAAGCAGAGACAAGGACAAGCAGGGAAGCCGAAAGGGGAGAAGGACGCCAGGACGGAAAGGAGAAGGAAGGGAGGAAAAGGCAGAGAACCTGGCAACGGGATAGCCGGACGAAATGAGGCCAAAGAAAGAACGGAACAGGAGAAGAAGAAGACGGCTGACACGGGGGGGGCCGCTTAAGGGGGGCCGCTCCCTGATGAAGGGGGAGGCAGCGCAGGAGGGTGAAAAAAGAGCTCGCAGAGCTCCCCTCGCCTCCCACCCTGGGGCCCCATGGAGGGGTGGCGGACGTTGGTCTGGCCTCTCTCTGCGGGGTCGAGTAGGGGCAGCCTTTCACCTCAAAGAGGGCAGCCCTCTTCGGTGAACCAGCTGCAGGGGTAGGATGGAGCCCCACCTTACCCGATCGGCGGGCTTACATCATCGCCGTCACCTTTTCGAGGGGCCGCGTCTACGGGAGGGCGGGGGCTTCGCAGGTCTTGGAATGCGAGGGCGATAGCCTTGCTGCCGCCCTTGTTTTCTACGGCAGCATCGGAGTGAGGTACATCCCTGAAGCGCGCGAAGGCCGGGGGTGCAAGCGTATGATACCCGTCGGCTTTCAGTGGCATTTGGTGCGCGACATGATGGAGGAAAAGGAGACGGCTACCACCTAAGTGCATCCCGATGACTAGGCACCTCGCCGACATCATGGCCAAGGCGCTGGCCGGAGCAAAATTTCGGAGCCGCGTAGAGCGGGCAGGCCCGTGCTTTCGACCTGGCTGGAACCTTGAAGGAGCTTTTGCCGATGAAGGTGTAGGATGTTCTTGAAGAAATCCCTCGTCGGGTTTTGGGACGGATGGCCCGCTGCGAGTTGAGATCGTAGCAAGATAAGCTCGACGCTGGGGCAGCGTTGCGAGATTGCTGGGGTGATGCTTCTGCGTCTTCTCTTGGTGGGGCCTGCTTGTGAGGGTGGTTGGATGGATTTCCTTGGCGTTTCCCCTTGGCGTGATTGAGGAACGCGAACAGGAAACCTATGTATACCAGACGAGAGCCCCTCTGGCTCATGATTTGCTTGGGCTGGCATTTTTGACCAGAGTCATTCTCGAGGAGGGATATGCTACGACAGTCCTCAGCTCAAAGACATAAAGGGTGGAAGTAAGACCTTTCGGGGTAGATTTCCCATAAAGGTCCAACTTGGCTCAATTCGGATCTTCTTAGCCTCTTGGTGGTTCTTTGAAAAAGATCCTGACGACCCTCGATGCACATGAAGCCGACTACTTTCCAGTAAGCGTCTTACTCTTTTGTTCTGTTTCCCTACAGGGTGTTGCGATTCGTCAGAATATAAAGCCAATCGCAGCGCTCCACGTTTTCGGCTTTGAGTGCCTGACTGTGTTCATATAATCAAGCCGATGGATTCTGAAGAGAATGCACTGGTGGCGGGAGTGCCGTAGTTGTAATAAGCAAAAAAAACTCTCTTAGACCTAGCGTTTCTTATCTACTAGTGCTCTGCATTTTTGTTTTTCTACACTGATTCTTCGCGATTGAGATGATCAACTGTTTCCATCAACACAGAGTATTGAATCTAAGATGCCTCCAGCACAGCAAGGCGTGCGTGACAGACTCCGTCCTCAGCATGTAAGTAGCGTATTTTTTTGAAGCGGAGCCAGCCTTGCTTAATATTGATGACATTGAATTGATTGAGTTCCGAATTGAAGTTTAAGTTGGTACTTCTACCTTGAAATGAAAGAAAACAAGCAGGACTAACCTCCTCCACCGATGAAATTCAACGGGCTTGATGATAAGCTAGATAGAAATACTGACTCGTCCATCTTTTCGAGCGTATGAAGATTTTTTTAGGGAAAAAGTAACTACTCGTAAACTTGAAATAAGCGAGTTGATGAAAAAATAAAGAAAGGGACCTTTATGAAATTTATGCCCCGGGAGATCCGTCGATCGTAATGGCAGTCGCGCGCGCAGCGCGCGAGAGTTTTTGTATCTGCGCGTGGCGCTGGAGATCGGGCGCGCGGCGCCGCGCAGCCGATCTCCAGACCCTCTGAGCAAGGAGTAGCACCTTCTGGGCCAGACAGAGCACCCAAGCAGTGCTTTGTGGCTCTGGAGTGGGGCTCTCAGCTAGACCTTTTCCGTTCAGAAGGATTCCCGGAACCCAAAGCGCAGCGGCGACCCCCCCTGGAACCCGGCTGCGCGCCGCCGCGCAGCAGGAACCCTACAAACGAATCGCCATTCAGCCCTTGTTTCCTCTTCGTTTCATTAGTTGGGTTCCTGCTGCGCGCCGCCGCGCAGCAGGGTTCCAGGGGGGGCCGCCGCGGCACTTTGGGTTCCCGGGATCGTTCTTAAAGGAAAGGGCCCATCTGATACTCAGCGAGCCCTTCATACGACCCAAAGCTGAAGGAAGCTCAGCCTTCCCTCTAGTCGGTTTGTGGCCGCGCGCAGCGCGCGCGGAAATTTTTATTCGTGGCTTGTGGTTTCCAGGAAGGTAGAATCCGGCTGCGCGGCGCCGCGCAGCCGGATTCCAACATCCTGGGAAGCTGGAGATCGGCTGCGCGGCGCGGGTCCGCTCCTTTATTTATTTGGCTACTCGCTTATTTCAGTTTTTCGAGTACAACTAGAAGATGGCGAAAAAAATCCCTCTACTCCTTTCTTAGGACGAAATTGAAAAGACATTCTTGCACATGAACGTCGAGTCACAAGCACAACCCATGACAATGAGAAAATAGGTGCTGTCAACTTCCGCTATATGGTCGTCATGGTCATGGTGTTCTGTATGGTGACCTTTTTGGAATGTGGAAAATCGCGCAAAATTCATTGAGAAGGATCATAGCGGATCGTCCTCTTACGTCGTAGTCTTTTGCACGTGAGTATGTCAGATGATTTGAATATTGCCGAAGCCGAGTGATTTTTAGCACGTTAAACAAGTCCATTACGAGGACTGGTGTGTTGTAAATCTATCGAAGATTTTGATACTGCTCCGATACTTCTTTCGGATACGATTTTCTTTTTTTGATGTGGATGACTTCTTCATTATCTCCGGTACGCAGAATTAGTTTATAATATTCCCGCTCTACGACCACTACCAGCAACAGTGACAGTCGAGTATAACATGAAAGACTAGACCTACCAGACCACGGACATGACTAAGAAGTAGCAACTCATCAAATCAAGATCAAAATGGCTCATATAGGCATCAGCCAGCAGAAAACGCTGTCACCAACGCAGACGATGCCACCAACGCTTTTCTTGAAGTCCAAAGAGAGTCGCTCAACACTGAAGAAAGGTGGCTAATTTGTGACTTTGCACTTTAGTCGGTTCAGATTGAGATATTTATTATATAGTAATTCTGATAGGTTCAGTTCTAAGATGTTGAACTTAGGTCCTCCCTTCTGTTGAAGAAATATATAGACACGTTGAAGAAATATATTTATAATGCAGATTGTTGTTGAAGTTGATACATATTCCAAGTCTTGAAGATACAACATTATTGGCAAAGTCGGGTGCCTTTATAACACGGACTTTGCGAGTAAATACAACAGCTCCGGCACTACCGGTCTTCAATGTTGGTTTCTGCACTATTCTAGATGCAGAAGAAATACTTAGGAAAAGTAATAATACAGAAGTACGGTGGCATATAGTCCTAACGCAAAAAAAAAAGATCACTATCAGAACTATTCTAGAAAATTTTGGTAGCTTCACTGGGACAATATGAAAGAACTTTCTGTTGAGTGTGAGACGACCGGAGCTCAAACTTTTTCCCTTCGGGTTGAGAAAGCATGGGCGCAGATGGTCGCGTGAGATTTCCCTAAATTCTGTCCTTGTGTGATGATGAGTTGTGCTGAGAGTTGCAAATCCCGCTCGTTCTCTCGTTCTGTGGAGTATTTTTGCTCTGTTCTCGTTTGAGTCCTCGTCGCCGTGGGAGAGATGATTAACGAGAAGGGAGTCCCCAGCTCCTTTCTCGCGGCCGATGCTGTATCTTACCTCCCGCAGCAAGCCCGTTTTTGTAGAGTAGCCCTCGTTGTTTGGCATTCATAAGGCTCCGCCTTTTCATCTTAGCACAACTTCGCCATCTTTCTCGTTTCTTATGTATTCTTTTACTCTTCCTTGTCCTGGTTCACGAGATCGCTGGTTTTGGCGTAGACGTCGGGAGAAGGAGACGAAGAGGGGACAAATTGAGGAAGGCGACTGAGGCAAGCAACATACACAAAAAACTCTTCGTAGGGGTACCTGAGGGAGTATCACTCACGCTGGAGGGTACGGCAGAAGAGAAAAAGGAAGAGGCGTCTAAGGAGGAGAAAAAGGAAGAGGCAGCAGAAGAGAAAAAAGAAGAGGCAGCAGAAGAGGAGAAGGAAGAAAAGAAGGAAGAGGCGGCAGCGGACGCGGGACCAGCGTCAACATGTCCCAAGAAGTCTGAGGATCTGAAGACAGTCTACGAGCTCAAAGCTTGCGCTTATGCTGCAATCTGAAGAATAGGAAGAGAGCCGTCTTCATCGAAGTCGAACGTCAAGACTGTAAATTAAAGTGTCACAAGATGTTGAAAAAGAAGAATAATGAATATTTAGCATATGAATATCAATCTTCATTTTCCCTCAGATGCCGCAAAGAGACTGGACGATATGGCCACGAAGTTGAAGACACCGTCGTGTCTGGAGATCTTCAAGCAATGTCGGAGTAATGTTAAGGAATCGAAGGTCATTTGTTGGCGTTACGAACACTCTATTATACCTTGCAGACTCCCTGTCTTGGACCGTGATAGCCCTTAATCATCTTGATCTTTTGCTGTAGTGAGACCTCATGCTGACAGGTAGCCCCTATACCTCACGAATAGGCACATCAATCAATCAATCAATCAATTTTGTTGTAGTGAGACAGAACAGCGACTAATGCTGCTCCTGATATTAATTTTTTCATATACAACAGGAGCAGCATTAGTCGTTGTATTCATAATTAATAGATATTAACTTCTTCGTCATTAGTAGTCAATACTCATACATCAAGGGGAACAACGCTCTATACTATAGATATTAACATTGTGTTCACAATAGATGATTTCAATTCAGTCCTCGTATGCTCCTCTAGACCGAGGAGCAGAGTACTCAACTCGAAGTATCATCGAAAGTATTCAACTAGAAATCTAGACCAGGGAGCAGAGTATTCAACTCGAAGTATCATCGAAAGTATTCAACTAGAAATCTAGACCAGGGAGCAGAGTATTCAACTCGAAGTATCATCGAAAGTATTCAACTAGAAATCTAGACCAGGGAGCAGAGTAATCAACTCGAAGTATCATCTAGAAGTACTAGTTCATGCCACGTCTAAGAATGAGCATGGCATGAAGGAGGTGGGGGATGAGGGCAAGAAGACTGGCGCGAGAAGCGATTTTTGGGATCTAGAGATGTGGAACGAAAAATGCGCGGATGTTCTATTCGAAATGGAAAATTATGGTCAATATTTCTTTTGCACAGAAATTATAGGAGTATCATGAGTAACCACTAACTACACTCACAGAAGATCACAGAAGTTTCAGGGAACAAATCGTGTGTCCCGCCGAACCGAAAAGCGTCTTCAACTAACACTCAGAGCACATGAAGAAAGGTAAAAACACAACAAGTGAAAGAGAACAAGAACGTAAAGGGATCATTATAGTGCTTTTACTAACTCTTCACGTACTAGTCGCAGCCAGGTAGATGAGCCAGCTGGATTTCTCAGAAACAAAAATGTAATTATCAGTATCTTTATAAATACTTGCGGCGATTTTCGTTTTTGAGTACTAGACCATGACCACCTATTCTTGTTTGTTTGTCTTGATGCGCTCCGGCTCCGGGCAACGCGTACGATCACGCCGGTTTTCTTCTTTCTTCGTGTGTTTTGTGATATGGTGGCCGCAGCGACTATGATGTTCCTAGCCTTGCTGTTCTTCTAATAAGAAGGAGATAAGGACAAGGGCGATGACAAGGACGCCAAAGAAATGGAGCAGGATGGTCTTAAGGCACCCGATGGAGGACCCTCAACATCATCCTTGGCTTGGTGGCGGTGCGGCTAGTTACTTCCTCTGCAACAGGAGGGAAAAAATCTCTTCAACAGCACACATGCTAGTACCTTATTGAGGGGGGATCTTCCTTGACTATTTTCCGAAGGGGAAGAGCGAGGCGCGGCCAAGGATGCAGTTGTCAGGGTTGTTGCGAACGCGGTAGCTCTAAGGATCACGCCGACGGGGGTTTTTCCTCTTTCTCAGCATTACAACTACAGGTGCTGAGAACTGCGTGTAGTGGAAAGAAAGATAGTGATAGCCACGGTCTCTGCAAGAAGTTACACGCCGCAATCGCAAATAACGAAGATGATTTGGTACTACTTACTCTTATAAATTAATGATTTGCTGCATCCTCCTCTGTCTTCTAAGTAAATCAAAAAATTCAAATCTTTCACTAGCTTCAACTAGAGCATAGCCACTTGACGATCATCCCCATCCGGATGATCCCCTCCAGGCAACAGAAGCCGCAGCATGGGTGAAAGAGGAGGAAGAACCGGCACCAGGCCACTCTCCGACACCTCCAGCCAAGAAGAAGGAGCAAAATCTAGCCAACCTCTTCAAGAAAGACGAAGCGGCCAAAAAGAAGGAGCTGCCGGACGAGAGTTGGTTAGTAATGGTGAGAATTCGATACTCGAAAACTGAAAATAACCGAGTTACTGACTGAAATAAGGGAGGTAGCTTTGACAGGGCTACTCCTCCTTGTTCAGTATCTCGACTATTTCTATATTAAGTAGTTAGTTACTCCTCGCTTATTTCAGTTTTTCGAATACAACAGTCTTAAATATCATTTTTCAGTCGAGGAGGACTGCGCAGGGCGCTTATTTCAGTTTTTCGAATACAACAGTCTTAAATATCATTTTTCAGTCGAGGAGGACTGCGCAGGGCGCTTATTTCAGTTTTTCGAATACAACAGTCTTAAATATCATTTTTCAGTCGAGGAGGACTGCGCAGGGCGCTTATTTCAGTTTTTCGAATACAACAGTCTTAAATATCATTTTTCAGTCGAGGAGGACTGCGCAGGG